ATCGCAAGAAAAAGTATTGTATTTATTTCTAACCAAAACTTCCATTTTGTTTGTCGGTGTTCGTGACTTACCACGTAGTTATGTCAGTTTTATCATTGCGTGTAATATATATCTTTTTTATTTATATGGATATCTTAAGGTCAGTTTTTGCGCTAATGTTGCTAATGCACCATTTAAGTGAAAAAAAATTGTTAAGGAAAAATTTTCTGTTAGCAAACCCTTTGTTAAATATTTTGAATATCACCACTGCGTATAAGTATAAAATTGCAGCTTTCAGAGCTTTAATAAGAAGGGAGTTTTTGTATTGTGAAACAGTACAAGACAGAAGTAAAGAAATGAGTGTGGCCAAGACCCTAGGTTACAGAAAAAGTTCAATTCTGGGAATGGTTAGGAAGTATGAAGCAAACAAAAAGAAAGGGTCTTTTAAAAATGCTCCCACTGGAATCGTAAAATTTACATATAATGAAGGTATGAATAGCGTTATGAAAGAGATTGCTCACAGAAAAGGTTCGAGAATGCTTATAAAAAGGGCCCCTAATTTATATAAAATCCTCAGAAATGATAAGGATGCTATAATGTCAGAGGAGAAAGCATGGTTTTATAGAATTCCTTATGAGAATATGCAATTGGGCGTCAAAAAAGACTANTTGATTATAGTATAATAATAGCCCAATTAATTACTGCAATAGTTTGTAGTAGTATCAATACATGAGGCTTTGGGATGTATATATATATATACCATGCCAGGTAAAATGATAACTGGCCAAGTGACATGTGGGAGGAGTGCATAGGCTGTGAGCGTTGACGATGTCCCCAGTAACCATTGGATGAAAGCATTGAAATTGAATAAAACTTTATTGGTGCTAATGTAATGATGTTAATAAGTGAATACAGTATCACAGCAAAGCGATGATTTTCCTGTGAAACTATGATTCAATTTAACAGAGCTTTCGATATCTTTTAGGATCTCTTCTTGTCTTAATACATACAATGATACAGTCAGGCATAGAGGCATACAAACACTGTATGCTATCCTGCAACAGATTTGTCAACAGATATTAAGAATACTCAATAGGTAACAGACCTGGAGACCATCAGGTCAAAAAGTGTGGCAATGTGACAAAGACATTCCAGGAAGACCCTAGCTGTATGTGGCTCAGAATTATCTTGTTGGAAAGTGCTGTTTGTAGTCCAGCAGGCAATACAAGAAAGCATAAGATTTCACTGTGCCACTACTAAGTGACTAATTGTCATTCAAAATAACTCCTTAGATCAGCATGCCAACAGTGAGAGCACTGTACAGCTCAACAGTAAAGGTGAGATTGGAGCACTTCACAGTGATTTCCACACTTTAACACAGTGATCATCTGTTTCCAAACAGAATCCGGATTCAGTTGGAACTGGATATGCTGCCAGTCCACAGCAATTCACATTTCTCTGTCATGACACCAAAGCTGACAATGTTGGGGTACTAATGGCAGGAAATGTAGTGATTGCTTGCCAAGCATGCAAATTTGTTTCTGCTAGTTGCTTGCCAATAGTATGGAAGAAGAAAGGGTTCTGTAGCAAGGCTTCCACCTGTTTCTGAATGGCAGAAAGATACCAGTTACACTTCTAAAATGTATAAAATACAGTGGTACCTTGGTATGGGTACCACTGTATTGTGGTACCGTGTGCTTTAGAATACGTCCAATTCGGAATACGTCCTGTTTGGATGAAACAAATTTTGCTTGGTATATGACTTTTGTTTGATATACAACTTAATTCAATTATACGCACCATCTATGAACAAATAGCACTATCAGTGTACTAGACCAGACTAGACGTTCACGGTGCAACGGTTTATAACTTTGTTAAATTTCTTTTGATTTTAATTTGTAAGTAAAATTTTATTATTTTAATTAATCATGAATTGCAAGAAGGCAAATGAAAAGCAACAGAAAACTAAAAAAATGACTAGAATCACAATGAAACTGATAAAAGAGATTGTTGAGAAATATGAAGGTGGCATGCGTGTTTGAGATTTTAACTGTTGCATACTGTATTCCGAGAACAACAATATCAACAATCGTGAAAAATAAAGACATTATTAAATCTGCTAACGTTGCGAAAGGGGTTAAATCAATTTCTAAACAGAGATCGAAGACATTAGATCAAGTTGAGAAATTGCTTTTGCTTTGGATAACTGAAAAACAGTGTGCCGGCGACAGCGTATCGGAAGAAATTATTTGCGAGAAAGTTGAAAGGATACATGCTGATCTCATGAAAAATCAAGCAGAAACTAGCGAGGAAAGCGAGGTGTTTAAAGCCAGCCATTTTTTTTTTACATGAGAACGGATTAATCATTTTTACATTACTTCTTATGGAAAAGGTTGGTTTGATATACGTCCTATTCGGTATAAGTCCAAACACCAGGAACGGATTAAGGTCGTATACCGAGGTTCCACTGTATTTACATTGGGCTAAGAAAATCGAATTATAAATCTCTAAAACCTGCCGTCTTTGTGTTAATAACGAGTTAATATAGTTCATTAAAAGAAACGCATTCATGTTTCTTTTAAATTCTAATAAATCTTTAGTGCTTTTTATACTCTTTGACTATTCCATGGCACATTTCTTACAAAACAGTCCTCTATTCACATCTAATACTTTTTCATTTTTAGCATCTATACATTCTATGCGAGTAGCTTTATTCAAATTTATCAAGATTCACTACTAAACCTGATTCTTGTTTTGTTTTAATCATTTTTTTAATTGTTCTAATAGTTGATTTGTTTAGATTCAAATCCTTTGTAATGACTAATAATTTCTCACTACATTACAATTTATCCAAAATTTTGGTTTAGTATGGCAACGCAATACGTGGACGATCTACCAACGGGAAAGAGCTTTCCGAAGAACTTTATATGGGAAACTGCTCTCAGTTAGGTGTTAGACACTTGAAGAAAATCTAGAAAATTCCACATGGCAAGCTAGTTCGTATGGCATGAACACATGACATCCCACCAATGTTTAGTGATTTTATCCACTCGGCCAATGGTGAACTTTCATGTTTGTTTCTTTCTGATGTATTAATTTTCTCATTAACTTCGACTTTTTCTCCGACTTCATAGACATGGCTTGATGTAAAATATTTTTAAAATAAATTTGACCAGTATTTGAGTCTGTCCTTCAGGTTTCTTAATTAACTATTCAAACATCTATATTTGCATGATTCAAATTAATTATTGTATGAGACTGTTAGAAGATTTAATGGAAAAATGAGCAAAATCGGTTGGAATTAGTGCACTGTACATCGTTAAATAATAGTTACAAATAATGCTATATTGACTACTTGCTTATATTTGAATTTAATTTACTATAACAAATTATTTTAATATTCTTTCTTTCTCCTTTACATCTTAAAAAGTAATTTGAGTTCATAATATTTAATATATAATAAATAATAATTTGTTTTTATAATTATAAATCACCAGTAATTATTAAACAATTATTAACAAAACCTTGTTTAAATTATAAAACGAACTGTACATTCAATAAGGGGAATTAGATATACCATATTTACTTGAGTAATAAGCGTTCTCCAGTAATCAATCCACACACTTCATTTTTTTTATGATATTAGTTTAAAAATAATAAAAAACTCAACAAATTTAATTTATTATATATTTAACAAACTTTTCTACAAGTAATTTACAGTTGTAACACAATAGCAGCTTTCATTCTCACTGTTTTGTAGACTTCAATATGGTGGTGCTAAGTGTATAAGATAAAAACACCGTAAAAAAAAAATTATTTGTACACACAGTATCTTATAAAGATAAATTATTGGCAATAGTAATAATGTATTTTATAATGAATTAACTTACCACTAAATGAAAGTAAAACTTCTTTACATTGTTTAATTGGAGTCGAAAGTGGAAAAACTGCTCACAGACCAATAGCTTAAACTAAGAAGTATAAAGATTAAAGATATTTACTGTCAGTCTCAGTTGTATATTTAACTTTACTTATCCTCATTTTCATGAAATTAGTTGCACAGAATCATTTAATTATGATACTGCTTGTAACTGCTTGCTATTAACTGTAGATGATCATTGTATTAAGCTATGGGTACGTTTGTAAAGTCGAACAAGTTAAATGAGAATGACATCATTGTTATTCTTATTTTGTTAGACTTTTCAAACGATTCGTTTATAATTAAATGGATGTTTCTAAAATTGAAGATACGAATGTTGCTAGCACAGCCTTATCCGAAATATTTTTCTTAGATTGCTTCGGGTGGACAGTTATTTCAATCATTTCACCTTTTAATTCACAATTTAAACACTCGAGTAGATTTAGAAACACCGATATTGTCGGGCACCATTTTCTTAATGAAGTAAACTAACTCTTACCTTTGTGAGCTTCGTTAGAGTTTCGTTTGAAATGTCATCACCTCAGATCATGTGCACTGAGTGAGACTACTACTTTTCGAGCAATTTGTTACTAATGTGTTTAACTCATTTGACTTTACAAACATACCCTAAGTCATCCAATTGATAAGTGAAATTTATTACTAGCAAATTAAACAAAATGCTTTATTAACTGGAATCATCCGGGACTTTGTGGGTTGACTCAGCAAATTTATTTAAAATAAACTGTACTCTGACTTTTTGTCATGATTTCTGGAAAAAATGTGGATGGATTACTTGAGTAAATACAGTATTTTTTAATATATCTAGTTCACTTTATAGAGGTTGTTTAACAATTACTAGCAAATGTTTTTGATTCTTCTTTGTTTCAGAATGTTGTTTCAAAAAGTTGCCATTTTAACATATTTACTGTTCCAAATAGAATATGGTTCAGAACAAACTGCATGTGGTCTTTTCAAAAACATTCTAAATCAATTTTGTTTAAAATATTTCTTTTACTTTATTACCATATATTATCCAATAATTAAAATTTTTTTTATTGAAAAATATACTTAAATCATATTCCATTATTTGAAAAATAAGAATTCAAAACAACTTACTAGTTAAGAATATTGTTATGAATTTAGAATGTTTAACAGTGAGTTGAATATTTTTTAGATTTATAATTGTAAAAACATGGAGTTGATATATAATGAGACTTTTAGATTTATTTTCAATAGACACATTAATACGTACCCAAATATCACATTTACCGGGAAAGAATCTTTCTGGAATACGAAGAGCATAAAAGAATGCACCAGCTATATACAATGCTCCCATCAAACAAAGCCATCCGAAAGAAGCTTGATAAACAGCTCTGATCCATCCTTCGGCAATTAAGTAGTGTAGAGCAGGAATAACGCCACTAAGACCAAATCCCATAAAAACTCCTAAATTTACAGGTTTTTAAACACAATTTTAGAATAATTTTTATGATATATTTAAGATATTTATAAGTTATTTAAACTAATTAATATTTCTATAAAACACCAATAACATTTCAATTTATTATTTATAGAATATATTTTACAGTTATAGAAGATCTATTTATGCTTGAAGTTTACATAATTAAAATTATTAATAAACAAGAAGATTTTATATTATATTAGTTCCATTATTAGGCCATTTCTAGAAACATAAAAAAACATTAATGCTTCTAAATGAATTATTGTGAGGTCTTGGATGAAATTTGAAATTATGTGCTAGAATGTTAATGAGTGCCCGATGGGCAGTTAAACTCCCATCTTTCAAATGAAAAAAATGATATAAGTTAAACAACAATACAGCAAAATGATTTATTTAATTATATAATGTCTCATGGAGACAATTATAAATTCTTGATGTCAAAAAGGTAAACACAAAAGGCTAGAGTTACAAGAAAGGGTTTCAAAGTTTGGTAAATACTATCCAATCATTATAATCAGGAGAAGTCTAGAATTGTCACCTGGAGACAAGAATAAACCAATTGGAACGTGATGAGGAATATTGTTGATTAATTGGAATGTGAGATCATGGAGAGAACCCTTTAAAAACTTGTGTCTCGAGAACATGAAGTTCTTTCTCTAAGAATCGTTGTTCTTCCTCTAGGATTCAAGTTCCTTTCTCAAGGATTTAAACTGTACAAAAGTTCTCATACCGTAATCTGTCCTCTCTAGCTGACTAGTGTCTCAAAGGTTATGCTCTAGTCATGTCAAAATGTTAAGTTACCTATACTATGCTTTCCGAGCAGCCAACTGTTGGATGTACAGTACATTTCAGCTGACCCAAAGTTCCCATCTGATCTGAGATTTAACTGGACAAAGAAAGTCCCGGGGCTATTGATAATATTAAAAATCATTAAAAAAATTATATTATATTGTACAAAGATAAATAAAACTATTTTAGTTGTATTGCTTTCTGATTCAAAATTATTATATATAATGTCAAGATATATATACCAAGGCAAGCTAAAGTTGACTGAGAGCTATAGAGAACAATTGATATTTATAATAAATTAATAAGATCTGACTGTAAATTCTGTGGGTAAGTCATCCATCACTGAAGTCTGAAAGACCTGGGACCAACTGGAAGATGAGAGGCAAGAGCTGACCCATTCGATACCCAGTCCATCTCAAGATGGTTGCAGATTCTTTGACTGGGTCCTGCCACATGATGCAGAATTCCAACAGGATAGGTACTTCATCTGTTGAAGACTTGGTTACTGCCAACACTTATAAAAAATCCAGATAGTCATAACCTAAATTTGTTCTCAGACTGCCAGAGCAGTTGAAGTTAGCTGCCATGGCCATCTGGTCGACAGTAAGATTTGATGATGTTGCACGTTATCAGAATTTTAACAATTTTGCTAATTTTAAATTATTCACAAATAATACATAAAATAGCTATATTTTAATTTGTAAATCAATAAAAATTATATCAAAAATATTAAATACAATAAAACCTGATGATTACAATTATAGAGTTTTCCATTTTATAGAGGCTTATGTTTTTACTAACGAAGAAAAAGAGAAAAAGTTGATAAAATGTTACAATTCATTTAGAACTGCCTTTCCTTGAAAGTATCATCTAACTTATCTTTTCTTTCAATGTAAGTGCTTTGCAATGTAACACATAGAAAAAACATAAAATGTTATATGATACACAAAAAAAATGTCAGTGTAAAACCCTCTATTTACAGACTATGTTTTCACTAACCTTTCCTTGAAGAAGTACCACTTGCTAGTCAACACTTAATTCATTAACTATCATCATATTAGACTAACATAGAAGTTTTTAATTTTTATTTAAAAATTACTTTTATATTGTCTATAAAAATAATTATTCTTAGAAATTAAATTTGCTATTCCTATGTCAGGAATATGATACAAAATTTTGGTTAGTTCTATGAATTTTGTGATGTTTTTCTTCTTAAAATAGGGTATTTTGTTATAATTACTTCTGGAAAATGAGTTAGTTCTTCAAGAGAATTGGAGAGAAATAGTGTTTTTTTGTCATAGCTACTTACCAGATAATGAAAGTGTAATCATAACAAATAAAAAATGATGGACTGTTATTCAGACTCACAATTTACAGAAATTTTTACGATTTAGAATTTAGCTGCGGTTCTACCAAAAATAAAAAAAGAAAATTCCATTTTATTCCAGTTGTTATGCAATTGTTTACATTTTTTGCATTGAACGTTACATTGCATTCTGTCTTATAAAGGTAATTTATGCGGCAAATCATTCTATTCTGAGAATTGTTATTTGTTTACGAAGGTTGTTTTGTACAGTTTATTTTAGACAGGTTTTACTTACATCAATATAAATTCTGATATGATTAATAGTTATATGTTTTTGGTAATATACATTCTGAAACATTACCTGCTCTTAAAGTACGAAAACGTGGTTCACTAAATTTATCCCACAACGAGACAACAATAGCAGCTGCACCCAATACAATGACTAGCATTAAGTAAATCACTTTTGGTTGAAAATCACAATAAAATCCATAATATAACCACGGAACAAAGGAACCAATGATGAGAAGGGCAATTCCACAATAATCGAGTCTGTAGGGAAAATTTAAAAAAATATATATATAAATTAACATATTTTATATCGGATATTAAAAATAATAAATTATAATTTAATTATATTTAAATATATATACTTGCTAAAAAGTTTTCCAACTTTTTCTGAATGGCAATGGACCGTATGAAAAGTAAAAGACATGCCGAGGCAAGCAATTGCACCAGCAAAAAATGTTGCAAACACTACTTTTTCTTGCCATTGTATGAGATTAGAAGGTTGACTTAAAAAATATGTAGCAATTCCAATAAAGAATAAACAACCTGGAATAAATATCCAAGTATTAATCTTCATTTATTTGTAGCAAAATGATTCTAATACTGATGATTGATTCTAATAGTGACCACTTTAGTTGATTTAGTCAGTATCAGAATCAATATTTTCTGATTTTTATTAAACAAAATCAGAAAGAATTACATAATGCATTAGATAAAAGCACTGATTGTCTATTTATAGTGGCTGAAAAAAGGGAAAAGATAAACCAATGTGATTGTATTTTTTTGTGGCTTATTAATCCAAATATCATTAAGAAATTTAGATGCAAAATTCCAATTACAATACATATATTAAAAGCATAAACTTAAACAGAAGTACTGAAAAAATTTAATGAAAGAAAAATTTTATCTTCAGTTCAAAGAACATAAAAAAATCACCAAATTCCTACACTTAAAATGCAGTAAAAGTACTCTAATCCAGCATGCATGGGACTGCCATGAAACTGAATTATTAAAACTTACAGATTACTTCTAGATTTTTTCTAAATTTGCTTATGTACACACACTAAATGGTTCAAAAAATTACATTTTATACTGTAAGCTACTGTGCTTTCTTTCATTTATTTTTGTACATCCTTCCAGTTGCTGTAATAACAGCAACTGGAAGGATGCAAACAAACTTGTTACACACGAAATCCATTTATCTTTATTCTGTATATATGAAAATTTGATTTTTTTACCACCAAATTCAAACTCTATAATTTTTTAATGATCATTTCCAGAACTGCCCTCATGACAAACACTTGCACACTTCAACAACCTAAAATCACCACCCAGAGCATTGACAAATCTTAAGAGTGTATTGGTTTACAGAATATTACAGAGTGCTGGATTAGATGACTTTTACTATACAAGAAATTCTAATAATACAGGAGCGACCAACTTAAACAATATTCAATTTATATAAACTCAGTATAAAAATTTTACTTGTATTAATAAAATTATTATAAATATAATTAATTGCTATAGTTTCTGTAGTTATAATCACTTTAGTAGAGCACGCAACAAAAAACATTGTTTGTATAGGAAAGTATGCGCACAAGTGACGCATTGAGGCACAAACATGAAATAACACATGAAAGGAAAACATAAATTGTTCATTTACAGCATTGTTCACAAGTGCATCTTTACAGAAATGTTTACAATAATTGCTCAAAATTGCATCAAACTTCTTATGGAAACATCTGAAGGCACTCGTTTACAAGAATTCAATCAACTCTGTTGAGGACCTCATTGCTAGAATATCCATTGCAGCTGCACATGTATGAGAAATACCTGGCATCTTTGAAACTGTACTCCAATGACTCTGAGCATGTATTACTGTTGGCAGTTGCAATTACTGCAATTATTGTAAACACTGCTGTAAAGACGCACTTGTCAATGATGCTGTAAGTAAACAATTTCTGTGTTATTTCATGTGTTTGTGCTTCAATGCATCACTTGTGCCATACTTTCCTATACAAAAAATGTTTTTTGTCATATGCTCTACCTCTACCATCCCTTTAAGCTTATCCCACAAGATCTGAATCACCCTGTATATGTTATGGGCAGAGCTAAGATTCCCCCACTACTCAGCAGTATTGGATAAAGTAAGAAATAAAATATAATATTGGGGTTTATCCAGGTAAAGTGTGAAGTACTCACATGCCTTTGGGTAAAGCCTATTCCTTATATTTTATAAGCATTTTGAAAACGCACAGCAGAATTTCACATTATCGGCTGTCAAAAAACAGCTGATGAATATGAAACATACTGCATTAAAAAAGGATTTTGATAAAGTCATGAGGAATTAATTTCTTCAAAGGACACAAACTGCTTCTAGGTAAGTGATGAAAAATACTGCAAGTTGCTACAGTCTTTAAAACATGCAAAAGCATCAGTTTCTAAGACATTTATCGTCATTTGAAAATATTCAATCTGTTTACAGTTGAAGGAATTGAGAACTTGTTGCCTGTTCCTCCAGCTCAACCTAATATAAGATATTTTGTGATGAATGAGATGTCTGTTGTGTTATATGACACACATCTCTCATTTGACATGGTGGTGTACAAACTTAATAAAAAGCATAAATATGTAACACAAGGCAACATTAAGTTGTATTTAAAAATTTGTATATGTCAGAAGAGACAGTTAAAGAGAAAGCTTTATTGAAAATCGTAGATAGAATTATGACAGGTATTATCTATCATAATTCTATCTTATAGAAAATTTCCCTGTAAAATCTGGAAATTTTATTGTTCTTTTCCATTTTTGTTTATTTGTTGTTTCTTTTATATTTTCAAATCCAACCATTAAATATTTTGCTTATAGAACTGATATATGATTTTTAAAGCTTCCTCAGAGTAATCATTTTGCCAAATTTTATTCATATATATATATATAAACATCTCAAAAAAAAAAAAAAAATATATATATATACTGATTGAAAAATCAAATTATTACATTATAAAATCCTGTAAACTTAATATTGTAATATAGGATTTTATGATGATAGCATCCTGAACAAAACTTTACTTCCCTTACCACAGACTAATCATGAATACCTTTTATATGAATCATAAAGGTATTAGAATTTATAATAAAAATAACATTGATATTTTAAATTTATAATTTACTTTTTATATTTTAGTGTTAAAAATGCTTTAGTTATTTTGATACATTCTTCTTTTGTAGATAATGTCTTTGTTCCTAATTCCTGGAATTACTATCTATAATATCTATTTAGTTGTTTTCCTTTATAAATTTTCATACATGAATGAGTTTTTAAAATATACACTCATATATGTATACATATATATTTTTTATTTTGTTTAACCTTCTATTTGAAATTTAACTATTCTTTTGAAAGAAAAATATATTATAGTTGAAAATGTTAAATTTTAAAAATATGTCCCAAATTTTGAACTAAATAAATGTAGTTTTTTAACTTATAAATTTTTATATATTTGTTTCTTTATAATTTATTGGAATTAAATGTTAATGCAGTCTAATTATAAGGATTATCTTATTTTTATTACATATTTAGTATTACACAAATAGTGTTTTAAAAATATTTGAAATTATTTAACTAATAAAACATTTCATTAATTTTAATGAAAAAGTACTGGTAGAATAATAAATTTTGAAGTACAGTATATATTTATGTAAGAAGCAGTTACATTTATATTAAACTTTATAAAATTAAAACATGATAATAGAGAGTATTGCAGACATAAGATATTTTATCAAATAAAATTTCTTTTATAATCTGAAAAATATTAACTTGCAAAGTTAAAACAAAAATATTCTATGTAAAGGTTTAACTAATTAAAATTTATTTATTTGGACCATCTTTAAATGATTATTTTAATATCTCTGTGAAAATAATTACTATAATATCTCAATAAAGAAGCAGTAGTATATTTTATGAAAAGATGTAGTATTTCAGTTGAAACAAATTGAGGAAAGTTTTGAAATGTTATTCTGTTCCAATTAACAAAAGAATTTGCTGTTCAAAGATTTTTTGTCAGATATATTTCAAGAATTCTTTTGTTATTTATCAATTCTTCTTTGCACATTATATTGAATAGTGACAAATGGTTTATTTTAACTTTGACTTTAGTATATGTATTTTTATTTATATGTAATTTATATTGAATGCTTACAAAAGCTTTCTTTTTATAGAGAATGAAATATTTAGAAAGATAAGCTGTAAGGTTTCTNTGCTACGGTTTATAACTTTGTTAAATTTCTTCTGATTTTAATTTGTAAGTAAAATTTTATTATTTTAATTAATCATGAATTGCAAGAAGGCAAATGAAAAGCAACAGAAAACTAAAAAAATGACTAGAATCACAATGAAACTGATAAAAGAGATTGTTGAGAAATATGAAGGTGGCATGCGTGTTTGAGATTTTAACTGTTGCATACTGTATTCCGAGAACAACAATATCAACAATCGTGAAAAATAAAGACATTATTAAATCTGCTAACGTTGCGAAAAGGGTTAAATCAATTTCTAAACAGAGATCGAAGACATTAGATCATGTTGAGAAATTGCTTTTGCTTTTGATAACTGAAAAACAATGTGCTGGAGACAGCATATCAGAAGCAATTATTTGTGAGAAAGCTAAAAAGATACATGCTGATCTTGTGAAAAATCAAGCAGGAACTAGCCAGGAAAGCGAGGTGTTTAAAGCCAACCATTTTTTTTACATGAGAACAGATTAATAATTTTTACATTACTTCTTATGGGAAAGATTGGTTTGGTATATGTCCAATTCGGTATAAGTCCAAACATCAGGAATGGATTAAGGTCGTATACCGAGGTTACACTGTATATAAAGTCCCTGAAAAAATTATAGTAGCTATTATGGACTTTGATTAAAAAATTTTTAATTGTTTAGATACAAACTTCCTTTAAATTGAAAAAATTGCTGATTTAAAGTTATGTTTGGCAGCTATTAAATTTTTCAGTACTCCCTAGAAGTGCATTGTATACTACCCCAAGTACAGTACATATATTACAGATCAGGAAATGCTATCTAACAAGTATAATAATATCTGGAAGTAACGATTAGTCAAAAGTTCGGATAGTCTAATTTGTAACATAACTGCAAAGTTACAGATTCAATTCTTGCTTCAGGTCAATATTTTCTTCCAGAAAATTTTAAATTAGTACTTACTTTAGTAAGTACGATATTGTTCAAAATACCAGTATTCGGATTAGAAGATTTGTAAAATTCTAAATTATTAAATTAATTCTAAGATTAATGTAGAGTATTTAACATTTTCTTGGTACTTGTAAGAATTAGTTATGGAACTCCCTACAAATACTAAAATACACAGACACTCAAGTCCTTTATATAAAACAGCATAAATATTTGTACATAACCTACACTCATCCTTCCATATCATCTGTAGATTACTTATGCTATGTAAATAGTTGTTATAATGTATTTTTTTAGATAATAATGACAAGAAAAAGTCTGCAGATGTAATCATTGTAGGTCTAACTACATAGTATATATCAGCAACAATATAACATTTGTTTCTTTCTTTCAATATAACTTTCTTTGAACACTTACATATTGCCTTTGTTTAACAACTCAAAAGAGAAACACGGAATATTTAAAATACAAGCAAATTCAAGTTTTGCTTTTCAGAACTTTCTGGAATTTGTTTTTCTTTAGAAAATTTTTGATCTATTGTTAGTTGAATCAGTAGATGAGAAACCCACAGATATGGAGGGCCAACTGTAATCATAAATATTAGTACAAGATGTCAGCCTAACTGCTTATCTTAAGACCAAATTATTTAGTTTAATTATTTTATCAATAACAGTGTTAGTTTAGGTCCTTGGTTCGTATCTATAAATCTGAAATTAGTTAAAAAATTAACTTTACTATAATCTTTTCAAAGCAGATAAAGTGAAAATTTACAAGTCTCTAATTAAAAAATAATTTTTTAAATTAAATACTTGTAATTAATTATAATTTTTATGTTTTTCTAATATATTATCTTTACACAAATTTAGGATAATCAAATGAAAAGCTTATTGTAAATTTTTTCTCATTTAATTTTTCTGAAACTGTTTTTGAGTAAGCTTGGGTGATGCCGGTAAGAAATTTCAAATCTCATCCCTCAAGTTCATAATAAATAAATATTCAAAATTTTAGTGTTTCTTGTGTCATGTAGGAGATAATAGCAAGAACAACTGGTACATGGCATTACAAAGTTTACTCTTTACATATAAATTTTTCATTTATCACCTAATATAAAAATTTAAAAGATAATTTATACAAACTTTTAAAGTAGTTAGTTTAATTTTTATGCATTTATATTTTTTATTTTCATTATTTTATGTTTATTTTGTACATTTCATTCTGCTTATTTATATAAACTTATTTCACATCAATTATATTTTATCTGTGGTCATTTATACAAAACTAGCAAAGAATGCTCAGCGTTGCCTGGGAACTCGGGGAGGGGATAGAATTGTTCTCGTCATAAGGCAGTGTATGTTACACACAGGATGGAAGAGAGTAACTATGCAAAATTTGGTGCGAAATCAGTCAAAGATTTGGCAATTTGCGGGAAATGAGATTGGAGAGAAATGTGGTCCACGTTTTAAAGTAGTGTATATTTTTGGAAGATCATAGAGAGTAACTGTTCAAAATTTGTCCAGATCGCACAAAAGGTTTGGGAGTTTGGAAGTAGAGGATGAAATCAGAGAGGAGTGAGGAATTGCTAATAACTGTGCTGTTTATGTAAAACAGACAAACAAAAATTTTCAGACCTATTCTGCATTTTATGATAGTTCATGTTTCCCATAGGGTACTAGAGAGACATTTGCATCCTGGTTTAGAGTAGATGTATTTCTCGACAATTGTGACTCTTTTAGGCATTTTATCATCAATAAGGCTTACTCACACACGTAGACTAATTCCATTTTTAAATGGTAACAGTAGGATTAATACTAAAAGAATAAACGCATAAAAATACTATAGGCCTAATTCAATTGCCTTTATGTCCTTATATTATACTATTTTATTATATTATTGTCAACTAAGGACTTATCATATTAATAGGACTATAAATATGATAAGTCCTTAGTTGACAATAATATAATAAAATAGTAATACTATAGGCCTACTTACAAAAGTTTAGTTTCATCCAAGGGAAGTAAATTCGCTCCTTATAGTTATATCTGATATCATAAGAGTAATATTATAAGAAACTAACGACCATGACAACATAATACACAACTATCTGGACTGTAAGAATCAAAATTGAAACCAAAAATAATAAGATAATAAGCCTAAAAAGTAAAAAACCAACCAGGTGGCAAAGGGCTTGAATGGAGCAGATGGTGTGAGAGAAATACTGTGGTAAAAACATACTTTTTATGCATTTTCCTTTTTTAATAGTCTATAATATGTAGTCTATGTCTATCTGGAAGAAATAAGCTTTCTGATAGAGAAAGAATTTTAAAAATTGGTTTGGTAGATTCTAAGAGTATCTCTAACAAACAAACAAACAAACATTCTCACTTTATATATTAGTAATAGAGTATCTTAGTTAAAAGATTTTAATAAAAAAAAANTGCTATTCCTATGTCAGGAATATGATACAAAATTTTGGTTAGTTCTATGAATTTTGTGATGTTTTTCTTCTTAAAATAGGGTATTTTGTTATAATTACTTCTGGAAAATGAGTTAGTTCTTCAAGAGAATTG